ATTTCACATAAATGATAAAATGAGGAAATCTAGGCGAAAATAGTTTGAGCAAATCTTATATCTCTTCGGTGATGGGATCTCGTGGCATTATTTTTCGAGTCTGAAATTCATTCCTCCAAAACTGTAGATTTTTATTTGGAGGATTATGCATGATGTTCTTCATGTTAAAAGAAGACTAAAAGTGGTGCTGAAACATATAACCATCTTACTCTTTTTGTGATAATGAAGAAGAATCTCCTGAACACTTATTTCTCAAATGCCCTTTTCCTAAGCTAGTTTGGTTCGGTGCAGACATTATTATCCGTTCTAGTTTAAGCTCAGAAAGGAGTTTGGCAGATTGGATCACAACCTGGATAAAGCTCTTTAAATCAAGGTGCATCGCTGATGTTGATTTATTAAAAATCGTTTCTCTTCTTTAGCATATTTGGCTTGCAAGGAATGCGCTGATTTTCAATGACAGGCCATGGGCTCCTCATTTCATTGCTCGTCGTGCCACTAGTTTCGCTCATCATAGATTTTTTATCTTTTCTAATTATCATGATAACTTGATGGATCATGCAAGCAAACAGATTGGTGCAGGTAGTGCAATGGACAAAGCCCCCCAATGGCATTTTAAAAATCAACTTTGATGGTGCTAATTCCTCTCAGAAGTCCAGGGTGGGTTTTGTTGTGAGAGACCACACTAGTTCATTTTTGCACGAGTTATTCCTATCAATCTGTCACCTCCAGTTGTTTCTGAAGCCATTGCTCTTTTGGAAAGTATCAAATTTGTCATTTTCATGGGTTTCTCTCATACCATCTTTTAAGGTGATAATGAGTCAATTATCAAGCTCTTGTTAGAGGAAAACTAACATCCTCCTTAGAGTATTCTTACTCTCTTATCTAGTTGTAGGAGTCTCCTCAATCACCTTGATGGTTCCTCAGTTACTTTTACTCCAAGATCTAGTAACCAGGTAGTTCACCACATGACTAAATTTGCTCTTCTTGTCACTTTATTCAAACCTGGTCCTCTACTCTTGAGTTTATTTCTTCTGTATTGATCAAGGGTGTAACTGAGATTTAAAGTTGAATGAAGTTGCCTAAGGGCTTTCAAAAAAAAAAATTGAAGGAGTGTAAAAGAGCTAAGGACAAGCTACAAAGGCTTGGCTTGAAGTAGTTATAAATGATAAGGGCCCATGACATAACAATGGATATGGCATTGATGAACAAAGTAGAACAACGGGATAGGGTTTAACTGGCTGAGCCCGTATAGTTGCAACAATGCTTTGTTGAGTTGAGTGAAGTTTTGAAGATGAATTTTTTTGTCTAACCCATCTGCAAATGGTGTAGATGGGAATTGAGTTGGCTATGTGGATTGAACTCATTCGAATTCACAATCAATCAATTTAAATTTTGTTACTTTATTGATTGATTTGGTTCTACCTTTAGGTTATGTTTGGTTTGAAGGAAAAAGGTAAGAAAAGGAAGGGAAGGGAAGGTATATAGGTTTTCCTACCTTCACTTCCTTTCCCTACTTTTTCCTACCTTCCCTTCCTTTCCCTTCCTTTCCCTACTATTTTTGAAGGAAAAATCTGTGTTACCTTTATCAATCAAAAGCTCCATACGTTTTTCAAAAAAAAAAAAAAACCATGAATCTTCATATATGCCTCCTGATTGGTTACCATTATTGAATCCTCTAGAATTACATCACTAAATTTCATTTGAATCAGATAAATCTGATTTTATTGTATAGAAAAATACTGCAAGGTGAGTATCTTAAATTGGTGAATGAAGTAGTACTTGGAGAGGGGTTTCTTGGTCATTTTATCATAATGTAAAGTGCCTTTTCAATATTCGATTATCTTTTTCTTTATTTTTTTGGACGCCATTCAATATTGGGTGTCACTTTAAAAACCTTCACTCTACCCATATATTGCTTTAAAAAATTGGGACAAGGAAAAATATATATTAGATAAAAAAAAAATGGAAAAATAAAGATCCGACCTGCCGGATTCGAACCAGCGACCTAAGGATGGCCAAGGGGTAGGTCCCACTACAGTCCTCCGCTCTACCAACTGAGCTAAGGTCGGAATGTGGCTGCTGGGATTCGAGCCCAGGTCTCCACGGCCACAACGTGGAATTCTCACCACTAAACTACAGCCACAAGTTATATAGCATTATAACTATATTAATACCAAAGAAGAACATAAATCCCTTCCCAACCATCTAAACTGATGCGCACTGTTTTGACCAGGAGATCGAATAAAACTTTATATAAGGTGGGATGGCAGAGCAGGTTCTAACTTCTAACTAAGTAGATTCCCCAGCATCAATCGGTACCATATCACATTGGTCGAGTCTCCACTCTCTCTCTCTCTCTCTCTCTATCTGTATATCGTACCAGACTTCAAATAAACTTCTAATACCAAGATCGAGTTTTGGATGGGCCAATTTTGAAAGGTGATCAATTACTACTATCTTTGATTTTTCTTTGGCTTTGTCAATAAGAAACTATGGAACTTATTCTTTAATCTATTATGTTTGTGTTTTTTACACGGAACAATCCATAACAATGAACTATACCATCTATCAAACCTATGTTTTATTAGCAGTATTTGATACCCAGTCTCCACCCAAGTTTGTATTCTGTCTTGCACGTGTATGGCATTATATTAACTGTTCATGAACGTTTTACAAGATTATAAAATTATACCTGATAATCTCTGTGGTGCTTTGGCCTTTTTGATAAGGAGAAGTCTGAAGACTCTGAATTAATTTGTCTGAAATCTGTGCCTCTCAGTCTCAGGACACAGTTGTTGTCCTTGTTCATGAACTTCTAAAACTATTATTAGGCATGATACAGAACAGAACTCTGTAAAACCGAGTCTATGTATTAAATATACTCAATCCCTTGGAAATAAGTGGGCAACTGGGCTACGGTCAATTATTCCATTTCAACTTTCCACAGTCTCATCTGCACGTGATTACTCTTTCCCCTTAATCTCTGAAAAATGGGTACAAAGGAAACGCCAAGGGTGGCGTTTTGCATCTGCAGAATTTTGATCCTTGATAATCTACATTGGAGTAAAAACTTTGCATAACAGATTGGGATTCGGGTACAGGCTCTCACTTTCTTTCCCCAAGCCATGAATAAGGTAGGCATAATTTCATGTTTCATCTGATGCTCAAAGCCTGCCCTAGTACCATGTGTGCTCCAGCTAGGGGGTGTCCATTGCAATCTGATCTGATCTAATATGAGTCCATTACAAATGGGTCAGGGCCAATCCTATCCGATAGATACTTTGGACCATTTTGGACAGGTCCAATTCAATGTCCGGACTGTCCAATCTGTTCAAATTGGTTTTAATTTAGATTTGTTCTAATCGAAATCTGGTCCATTGACACCAGATAGTGGTTCAACCTGACTCAAACCAATATAAATCCATTATGGATGGACCAGGTTCAATCTAATCTAATAAATACTTTAAGTAACCCACAAGAATACTTCTCAATTAGAGTTTATCCATTTTTCCGTTGCAAGTCAGTTAAGCAGATTCATTAGGATGTAAATCATTGGCAATCAGATTGCAGGGCCATTCAGAGCCCCAAAAAGAAAGAAAAAAAAAAAGGGTCTACCCATCTCCCAGACAGCATGGGCCTTCCATGTAATCGTAGCCCATAACATGGATAAGTGCGACCACACCTCCTAAATGCAAAACAATCCTGCTAAATTTGGTGGCACAACCCAAAATAAAGGTCACTAACGACCAGTATCCCTATATAGAGGTGTCAATGGAGCAGTTTTGGATTGGATTCATCCAAACCAAAATCAATTTGAATGGATTGGACAGACCAACAAGATATATTGAATTGGACCAGTCCAAACTTAATAGTCCAAAATATTTTATTGGATTGGATTGACCTGATCCATCCGAAATGAATTTATATTGAATTGGGTTGGATTGAGCCAATATCTGATCCATTGATAGAAGATAAGAATATAGGTGTCAATGGATCAGGTTTGGGTTATAATTAATCTAAATTAAAACAAATTTAAACAGATTGGATGGTCCAGACATTGAATTAGACCAGTCCAAATTGTTCATTGGATTGGATTGGACCTGGTAATGGATTCCTCATTAAGATAGATGAGTGAGCTGTAACTTGGACAATCTTGATTCAATAGGGTCACAAGTTGGATACATCCCCAACAATTTTTCCCACGCGTGGAGTTATACTCGTGGGGCTATTCAGGCTTATTTTCTCAGCTATGACATGGCATCTGATGTGTACATTTGCAACTTAAGGCTGTGTTTGGTTTGGAGGAAAAAGTAGGGAAACCTTTACAAACCTTGTATAGGTTTTCCTACTGTTCCCTTCCTTTCCCTACCTTTTCCTTCAAACCAAACATAGCCTAAAATTTGGCAAAACAATATGCAACACTTTATTGGCTTGCCCACATCTCGGATTTGTTTTGATCATGTAATTCTAACCAATTGTCTTCCATAAATAGCCTACCTGTACACCATACTTACAAACAGCACAGCAGTGAACCAATGATCCAGCAACCAACAAGTCTACAAGTTTGAACTAGAAGATCTACATTATTTTTGAAGCCGAAAGAATATCTACATGCTACATTGCCAAGAGTAAAATCATAAGTGGTTTAGGACCCCAGATATCAAACGACTGCCATAATCCATCAAAATTCAAGTTTTTCACCTAAGAGGGCACGAGTGGGAATGGATGTGGATCCAATGACCTGCACGTTAATTCAACAAGTTGTTATCCCATTGCCATTTATAAATAGATGTGTCAGGAGACCGCCCCTCCTTGTTCTCAGTTTGGCCAAATCTCTCATTTGGATCAAATGCAAGGACTGGCCAGCATGGACCACAGGCAGGGATGATCTCCATGGTAATTCAAAAATTACCAATGGACCAGGTCCAATGTGAACACATTAGCACCACGGAAAGAATAGCGCCAACCCGCAGGAAAAGGAGCAGATTTGAACTAAGAAAAAAAGCAAAACCATGTGTTGATGTGTGACTCCTCAAAGAAATACCATTTATCATCCAACATTGCCTTCTTACTAAGAAAGTGTAGAAACAAAAACAGGATGGTACAAATATCATTACTATCAGGGGCAGAAGAGCGGAGATCAAAGCAAATAGTATTTGTGGTTCAGAGATAAAGAGAAAAGAAATAATTCAAAACTGTCTTCTTTCTTTCTTTAAGAGTTGGAAGCCTTAAGGCTTTCATCCTTGTGTCACCTATGACGTTCAATGATAGACGGCCAAAATGGATGATCTTCCTTCACCAAGCATATAGATTTTGGCATGTGCTTAGTGCTAAGAAAAATACACTTTTCTGTCTCTTGCTTGCATCCACAAGTATCAGCCATGATATTGATAGTCAAAATGGATCAGCTTCCTACACCAAACACATTCACTTTTCTGTTTCCTGGGAGAAAGGGAGGCAGAGAAGTTATTTGCTTCAGCTCATGTTTTCCACACTCGAATTGTGCCATCAACAGAAGATGTTATCATGCAGTTGTCCTTTGGGTGATAGCTTACACTTGTTACCTGCCAAGAATGACATCAAATCCTTATTTTTCTCTATTTTTCATCAAAGGAAAATCATAGACAATACATTGAAGCATCACAAATTTAAATTTAATTTCATTCTGTTTAAAACAAATGTCAATAGGAATATAGGATAAATGGAGATGTCAAAGAAACCACTTTCGCAAAAGAAAAAGTTGAGGGACTCAAATAATAGGTGCAACTATTAGATCCCTGTTTGGAAAGTGGACAATGGACTTTGTGATCTTCCAATTATCAAATAATATCAGTGTTGTCTGACAAGAGAGTACAAAAGAATGTGCCTACGGGCTTCAACACAAATGTGATGCAAGGACACATTATTTATTCCAGGGTTCCCATTGGCCTAAGGGCCCAAAATTGATATTGGGAAATCTATTATTAAACTTTCCAATATTAGTTTGGGGAGTATTACTACTTCCTCCTAAAATTCTGTGTGATAGGTATACGAGTCCCACATCATACTGTCTCCTCGTAGTACCTTGTAGATTAGATTTTAGTTTTAGTTGATTTAAGAGCACGTCCACAGAGCTGCTAGTTTTTTTTATAGCAAGAGGAAAAGAAAAATTTTATCAACTAGAAGAACAATTACAAACTACCCTTAGCTGAGAACTAACTTCCAACCTTAACACAGCAATTACATACATCAACAAGGATAACAATGTTAACATGATACAATCCCCTTCATCTCAAGTGGTGGTCAAAGATCCAACATAAAAGAAGTCCTTCAAATATATCTGAATTTGAATATGAACAAGTAACCAGTCCATCATTATTGACCTATCAGTCACCGGTCTTCTGGTATCCCTGCTCTTACCTTTAGACTGTTTGGTTTGGAGGAAAAGGTAGGGAAAGGAATGAAAACCTGTACAAACCTTGTTTGGGTTTCCATACCTTTCCCTACCTTTTCCTTCAAACTAAACACAGCCTTAAATATTCCTTGTTTCCTTTCTTTTCAAATGCCCCGACAAATTTCAAAAAGGAATTGAGGAGCAGAAAATCTTTAATTTTTCAAAAGTAACAGCTCCCTGTTTTGAAGCACTTGAAATTTTAAGTTTCCTGTAGCCTGAATTTTAGAGGCCAAAAAGTTATCAATATAACCTACTATGGGTGTCACTAGATTAGCTTCTAATTACCTATCTAGCAAGCCCAAGATCTTGAAAATTCAATCTGAATAGGAAAGCTCTGGCAAATTTGTTGGTGAAGTTTTAAGTTTATGATGGATTTGATGTTCTACAAGGTCTACTCTAATTAGGAAGTTTTTAGGTAATTTCAATGGTAACACAGTTTTTTGCAAGTAAGAAAATCATGTTTAGAATCCATGTAGATGAAGAAGAAAACAAAAAACAAATGTAGAAGTAGAAGCTAATGAGACCTGGAAGTGGAAAGTGATCAGAAGCATGCCTATCCAGATCCCAAATTACTGTGGTAGCTGCACATTGAATAAGGATCTGGGTAACAGACTCCCTATTTTATACATGTACTAAAAGTATGAAAATAATATATGCATCATAAAAGTATAGAAAGACATACTGTTATTTTATCTTCTTTAAGGAGCATTGCATGTCTTGGTTATGCAATGACAAACATCTCAGAGGCTCTGACATGGTAGGTGCCAATGGGACAGATACCTTAATAAGCACCCAGGTTATAGGCAATTGCTTTGAGAAAAAGTTAAGAAAGAGTACCACTAGGGTTAAGAGTCCATGTATATGGAAATTTTCCATTAGCTTATCAAGATGAGAAGAGTCACCACTCATGAACTGGCCTTTCTACAAATATTGAAAATCCATAAAGATCCATCGAAAGACAGGGTGAGGATATTGGAAACCAAGGAATCTAGCCAACAAAGGTCAAAATGGGATTTGAAACATAAGCAAATGGAGAATCCAATCACAACAAGCCATTCCAAGTTCAAATTCAACAGTCCTAAAGCCTCAATGTTACAGAAGACATCCCATGTTTCATGGAAAATGGTACAAGTGTCAGAACGTGATAAAGGTACAAGGTCTTGGACTCAACAAGCCTGTAAAAATAGGATTTGGGGGTTTGGCTGCTATATTTTCAAGTTGTATTGTTCAATGACATATCTTTTACGTTATATAAATAATGGGATTATTGTTGAGACAGAGAAAAAGATTGTATGTAGTAATTTAGATGCAGAAATCAGTGCAAACAACACTAAATAAATAAAGATTTTCTTGAAGGTGACTAAGTAAATAAAGATTAATTATATTAAATTATCAAGTGCTTAAAATTTACCATTGCATGTCCAAATTTTATCCTAAGAATTTGAGATCATTTAATCACATATTACAGATGTGGCAAAGAGAAGAGTCCCCTCAAGTGTTGTGTTGGTGTCAGTGTCCAACATGGGTATAGTGCTCATTTAGAAGTTTTGATGTTCACTGAAAACTATAAAGTGACATCCTCTTTAATAAATGCTGTAAAGTGCTAAAGTAGAAAACTTCACCACTGAGGAATGAGCCCGAAAGCTTGACACTACAGATGCATCCACAAGATCCCAAAAGAAAATGAAGCCATCCTCAGATCCACCAGTTACATGGGCATCAGTGTTGGTAAGGCAACAATCCAACTTGTAAGACTGTCATTTTAAGAGAAACCAAATGTCATACATAAGGGAATCCAAAATTCCATTTACCCCACATAGACACACCACCCAGAAGGATGGGATAAGTGGTGGGAAATGGTTTACATAATAGATGAATCAATTAAAACTAAAACTGTGGCATCAAACCTTGCAAATATGACCCTTATATTCTTGCAGTAGTTCCCCAGTAGTCCTGCCATAATCAACATCCATTTAAATTGACAAATGGAATATAAATGGCATCTATTTTAAGTAAAAGAACTGCAACAAACTACCTGTCCAAAAGACGTAGAGTAGAGTCTAGACAACTAGCCAATATGCAGTTACCATCATTTGACATTGAAATGCAATTGACAGGTTGCCCCAAGTCATCAGATATTTCTCTAATAAAATAGTGAAAAGGATATATTAGAAGTGTCATCAAATTCATTTAAAAATCAGAGAAGTATCAATCTTTTAGAAGGAATATATAACAGTACAAAACAACAGATAACAAGCTTCTGGAGAAAATAAGTGTGGCATTTCAACTCAACAGGGAAACTGAATTCACTGTTGGTCTTACATACCTACCAATACGAATGTCAAATGTTCGAACAGTTCCATCAACACTCCCAGCAAGTATTTCACTTTTTGTCAAACAAATAGACATTACACTGTCCAAGAATGTATCAATGATCTGTAAATGAACCATGGCAAAAGTCAGTTAATAGGAAAAATATGAGTGCTACCATCTCAAGTTCTGACCATCAAATTGCCAAAACATTAAATTAACCTGAATTGGTTCAGTGCTATGAGATCTACAGTCCCAAGTGCGTACAGAACGGTCATACCCAGCTGATACTACCACAGAAGCATACTCATTGAATTTCACAGCATTTACCTAAAATAAGTGAAAGAAAAAAAAAAGAAAAAGTCAAATTACTATTTTTCACTGATAATGCATAACTATAGCTATATGTGTATTTATGTGAGTGTGCCTACTTTTTTGAGTAAATAATTGAATTTTTTTTATTCAGTGGGAAGACGCTGCAGATATGAGCACAATAGTCAATAGAGCTTACTTTCTCATAGGACTAGACTTTGCAGTATAAGCTAAGCTGTTTAGCCCACACAAAGACATGCTAGTATCAACTTAAGACACCCATAATTGGGTTTGATGAACCCTATGTTTCGGATTAGTCATTAAAGTGCTTCTACAGCTTCTCAGTTTGGAAACCTTCTTCATGTTTCAATGGCACCTAGTAATTAAAAGGAAGTGCTTCATAGAACCAAGAACATTTTTTGTCCAGAAGCAGAAGATTAAAGAAATCTCCTTCTGGCTTTTGGTTCCTGAGAAGCAGAAATTTACGTCATCTTCATAAATTTTAACTTTGAAATCCTTCATAAGCCTGCCATTATCTTCTAATCCTTCTAATAATTTCCTTCAGAGTTCAGAGATTGATACATCTCCAAACCCTTTTTATATTCAAGTCTACATTTTACATAAATAACTGATAACACCCTCATTATGGTGAAAGTGCTACCCTATGTCAGTGTTCCCATGAGGTTCTTCACCAGAAGCATTTCCATTCTCAAGATCAATCCCAAACACCAAAAAATTTATACTTGGAATGGCTCTCTTTGAGCACCTCGAGTTGATTCTTAGTTGATTCAAGTTAGAGGTTGGCTGTTCAGATTCTAAGCCTGGTATTGTCTTAATTTGCTATGTACTTTGAAAATTAAACAATGATATAAAAGGAAAAGGGTAAAATACAAAAAACTCCCGAGTTTTCTGACAATCTTATAAATCTCCCCTGTGCTTTGATATGAACAAAATCCTCCCTTATAGTTTTGAAAAATGGTGCATATACCTCCCTGTTATTAGTTTTTCTGGCTGAAAACCCCAACGTAATATATTAATTTTCTTAAAATACCATATTTACCCTTGAAGTGGTAACTGAAGCAAACCACTCTCTTACCCCTGTTTTTTCCACTTCTCTGTCTCAATTGAGCTAACCAATCATCACTCTTTTTTTCTCCTTTTGCTCTGTTTTATTTATTTTTCACATTTTCTTAATTTCCCGTCTCTTTTATTCTTCTTCTTTCTTTTTCTTTCTTATTTTTTCTTTTCATTTTCTGTTTTTTTTCAGGTGACAGTCAAATAGGAACCACAGTCTAGAGACTTAGTGGAGATGCCTGTTAAATGGTTCTAAGCGATTCCTTTTACTATTTAAGTAATTTAACAGCCATTTCTCATAACTATTTAATCTACCCAAAAAGCTTCAACTGTACTGAACTCATCTTTATAATGCGTTCATATGATGTGCATGACAGTACTCCAAGTGTTCAAAGAAATTCCTAATGCGATCTCAAATCATAAAACAGAAAAAAAAAATTCAAAGTTCTATTAAGCGTTAAGCGCCAACCTATTTCTCTCAATCTTACCTGGATTGTTTTATTAAATTTAACATGAACAAAGTCAAAGACATTGCCTTCCACACAGATTGATCCCCAAGAGCAAAAATCTTGACAAACTAGAGAAACCAAACATGGAATCTAAATTAAGATTATCAACTGCCTGTTAAAATCTTACTGAAACCTACGGGAATGTTGCCAGTGAATTTGTGGAGATGTTTTTGTTTCAACAAGAAGCTTGCTCTGTTCTTGTTGAACTTGACATAGAAGTATACGTCCCATAAAGAGGAGGATGATACTTGCTAGTATTTAAGGGTATTTTAGTAAATTCCTCTTCTAAGTTAATGGAACTTTAATGGAAGGGAGGTATTTATAGCTTTTTTCAAAACTATAGGGGATGATTCTGTTAAAATCAAAACATAGGGAAGGTTTATAAGATTGTCAGAAAACTCAGGAGAGGTTTTTATATTTTACCCAAAGGAAATTTACTGAAGCAATCAATTTCAACTTTCAAGCAATTCCATTTTCTTCTTTTTTCTCCTTTTGGTCCGGAAATTGCATTTGACAGCACAAAATCAAGTTGAACCATTTGATGAAATGAAGGAAATTTTGTAGACAAGAAATTCCTGATGACCAACCTCACTATCATGGCCTCGGAATTTTCGAATCACACGACCAGTTGATACATCCCAGTAAAAGACCTGTCTGTCACCACCACAAGAACATAGCTTGGAGTTGTCCCTATAAAAAGTGTACATGTTAGTCATTGCCCAATGATTGAATCCTAAATGCACAAAAAGCAAAATTTTGATAACAAATAAAGTTATTCAGGTTCTTGTTATAAATTCGGAAGCCTGAATTAGCAAATACTCTTTACCATGTTTTAGTAAATGAAAAAGGGAAAGGAGGAAGTTCCAACATAACTCAACTCAACAAAGGCTTATCCAACTAGGCCAGCAGTATGGGTAATAACAATTTTAGCAGAGGCAAATAAGAAATCATACACTCTTTATATATCAAAACAGGTCTATGCAGAGGCAAATAAGAAATCATCCCCCTCCTCTTTATCAACCTCTGTTAATCATCCAATCCCTCTATATTAGATTTTCTTTTTAAAAGATTCTGATCTCATGATCTCAACCAGACCTTGTTCTCTTTTCTTAATCAAGGCTGCTGTTCTTGTGGTTTAATTATTTAATGACTTAATTTGCAGTTTAACTGTTTATAATTAATTGATAACTTCATAATAATTTGGAAACAGCCCCTCTGTATGTGCATGGGTAAGGCTGCATACATCTGTCCCTCCCTAGACCCCACATTGGCGGGAGGCTTGTGCACTGGGCAGCCCTTTAGACATGGTTTAAAGTAAGGTTCAAAGTATCGGAAATGCTAAAGTGTATCGGAAAGATCCCACATAAGGTTATTGTCTAATAAGGCTATAACTACAAAATATAGGCTTAACAATTATTTAATGAAACATTTTCTATAATTGTTTAAAGAATTATTTATTTCTTATTCAAACAATTATTTTATTTTTAATTACAAAAAATTATAACAAAAATTAAAAAATAAAATGTAACAAAAAATAATTTTATGGATGTGGTAGATCATCCATATATTTACAACATGTAAATATTATGGTTAGATCACACCAAAAATTAGAAAAAAATAAATATTACAAAAAATAAAAATAAATATTTTACAATAAATTTCAATAGATCTATGAATTAAAAATTGGAAAAATTATTTTAAAAATAAATATTTTTAATTTTACAAAAAATAAATATTTGTTCATACTAAAATTGAAAATATAAATATTTTTATTCAAAAAATTACAAAAAATATTAAAAAATGAATATTTTAGAAGTTTTAATAGATCTATGGATATGGTACATCACTCATACATCTATGACACAATTATTCTTCATGGGCAAATTACACAAAAAATAATATATATATATATATTTTAATTTTACAAAAAAAAATATTTTTTCATACTAAAATTGAAAAAAAAATAAATATTTTTATTCAAAAAATTACAAAAAATAAAAAATGGATATTTTAGAAGTTTTAATAGATCTATGGATATGGTACATCACTCATAGATCTATGACACAATTATTCTTCATGGGCAAATTAAACAAAAAATAATATATATATATAAGCATTTCCAAGCATTATAAAAAACACAAATATTGTAACATACCATTGAATAAATTGAAAAAAGTATTTATTTTTGTAAAAAGTTGAAAAAAACCTCAAAAATCTTGAGTTTTGGAGGTTGTTTGGGTTTTTTTTTAAGATTTTACACTCCAAAAATGTGTTGGGAAGATTTGGTGAGTTTGGGAGAGAGAGAGAGAAAGGTTTTTGGAGAGAGTTAAAAGCCTTTTTTCTCTAAAATTTTTAATTCGATTTCTGCATATAGGAAATCGTACTGTATCAGCTGATACACCCCGATACGGTTACGATATGGTCCTGATATGCCCCGATACAGTCACAATACGAGGTCAGCATGATGAAAAAACATGATACAAATAATTTTGTAGCATTTCCCGTGCTGACCCCTTAAAGATACAATACATATTGGCTGATACGGGCCGATATGTTGTGGAATTTTGAACCTTGGTTTAAAGTATCAATACACCTGATACACATGAGCATGCATATCGGGTGTTTCACTACTTTATAACTTTGTTAATTTAAGTGTTCTTTTTTTTCAAAATTGCATCAGGGGGTCGGTTTTAAGCATGCCTACCCCCTAAAAATAGTCAAAGTCCAAAACACCCCTTATTTGGGGTTTTGAACAGCTCCCGGTATGATACGATACACCTGATACAGGGTGTATCGTATCGAAATTTTGAACCTTGCCTTTAGATAACTTCATAATAGTTAGTTATGTTTAAATAATAAAACATATCTATTTTAATCAACTTGTCTTGCTAGGCACCTAGACCAAAATGCATTGGAAAAAAGGCAAAACCTAAGAGCCTCCAGTCATCTCTGTTTGGCAAACCTCATTTGGAGGTGCAATATTGGTCAATGGGGCATGAAACTTGGTGGTTGCACTAGCAGTGACCAAAAAGAAAAAACATCTCAGTTCCATGAAAGATTTATTGATTGCATTAGTGCTTTTGGTAGAAAATGTATCTTACATAGATGCATCATGCATCACAAAACAACAACTAAATGGTTGATTGGATGCTGAACATGTCAAACCTGTCAATATGCAACACTACAACCCTAGTATTAACGCCTCCAAAAGCAGGCTAAAACTATTAGTTTGATTACAACACAGACATATTCACAGTAAGGAGATTAATAAAAGAAGTCATTGTTTAGACCTTATGACCTTTCTACATATGCATGTTCTTGGTTTTAGAGAGTTTGTTGCATCCAAAGAGTGCTTCACAGAAATCCTTGGAGATAGGTATAAATAAAAATAGTTTTTCTTATGAGAATTTATATTCATCTGTCTGAATATGAGAAAGCATGGAACAGAATTTCAACACACAGATTGATAAAGGATGAATCATAATAGTATGATTTACAAGACATTTGCAGTGGATAACATACTTTTTCTTCATTGATATAAAAAGAGAGATTCTATTAGAGTTAGATGATGAGAGTAAAGGATATATACAAGAAACTAGTGGAAGATGACAGCAAATGCAGCCACACCACAAGGAAACAAAAAATAAGAAATAAGCAGGGATAGAACCAAAGAGAGACTATGGTGCAACCACATGGTAATAGGAGACCCACAATACAACTCTGCTCCAGTTGTGCGTGCCACCCCTCAAATAGAATGAACAATGGAATTAGCCAATATTTCCTTCCATTGGATCAAACTATTAAACCTGTAAGCGAATAATTCAAGCTTCCAAATGTCATGAAAAAAATCTACCTAAGAGATCCTCTTGCATCATTGCATGACAGATTCAAAAAATGACTAAATAAGAGTTGCCTTCCACAACAAACCTTTTAAATTCAGAGGTTGTAACCTCTGATAACCATAAAGGCTTAAGCCCTGACAATTGTTGTATATATGATAGACTATATAGTTCAGCCGCTATTATTGCACGCTTTTGCACTTAGAGCCAAGGCCAAAAAAAAAAAAACTGATGTTTCAGTAATATGAAATAGATTGCACATCATGAAGAGCAACGTCCATGAAAATGCATAGCACATTAGATTCTGCTACCTTGCACATTTAATTCAATCATTTCACTAAGAAAAAATTTAACCAATCAAATAAGTAATGATCGATGCTAGTTAAGAGAGTGAATCAAAGAGATAGATTTCTACAGTGAAGGAAGGAAAAGAGACATTACGGGGTGACATGGACATCCCGGACTTCTCTGCCATGGGACTTGTAGGTTTTAATGTGAATACCCCGGTGAGGATTCCAAAGGCGGATAGTGCGATCTTTGCCGCAGCTCAGGCAGTAATTACCGTCTCCGTTAAACCGAGCGGCTAGGACGGCCCCCTCATGCCCTCGTAGCACATTGGCTTCCTTCCTCGGAAGGTCACTTGCGCTCATCTCTTTCCTTCCTCCGTCAGATCCTTGCAGAGCCCAGCTACTTAGGCGGGGAAACTAGCACTCGCCATGGCAACTTTTCATTTCACTGGCAAGTCAATCTATATTGGAAGAAAAGGGAAACGATTAGCATAATTACGTCTAGCGAGTCCGTCCTTCTGGTACTTTATCTTCCAGTTTGTTCTTGGAATGCGAGATGATAAATCAAAGTTCATGAGAAAAATGGATAAATAAAAGAATCCGGCAAACTAGCGAGTTGGAGAAGATTGAAATGTTTTATTGAAATAAGAAGAAAATATAACATAGAATAAAATGCAAGAAACTTGACATGTTTAGAGTTTGATTTTTTCTAGGGTTTAACTGCCTGATGAATAGAAAAATGATTGTGTACCTTGGGAATTCGGATGGCTTCTGGCATTTGTGATTTATATTTGCTAGCATTCCTCAATTTGCTTTGCAGTCATTGTGCCGTGCTCGACTGCTTGCGAGAAAGTCGAACGGAAAAAATGGCCAATTCCAGATATCAAAGTGAGAGCTCGACTTTCGCGGTTCTCCATTTACAGCCTACAAAACCCCGATAAAGAGAAGAAAGGACGAGACACGAGAGATCAAAAGCGGAAGGCATCAAATGATATTAACCGTTCGATCTATTTAAATTTTTTCTGTGATCGAAATCATCCAATCAAATAGGATCCTTGAACAATTGACAAAATGACAAATGGACCAAGATTTCATTGGACATTTCGCTGCGCTCGTTGAACATTTAAATAGTGGTAAATTTCTTAAACTATCCCTACTGTTTGCTTAGTCGACAAACAGTCTCCTGTTTAATTATCTAAGTTTTCTGACAATTTACTTGTTTTACCCCTTCTGCTAGCATTCGTTAATTTTCCGTTAAAATCCGTATACACGTGATACTATGTAACTTTTAAAATTTTTAAAACCCAATATTACTCTCATCTCTTTCCTCTGGACCGGCAGCCTCAACCTCCTCTAACCTCTCTCTCTTCCCTCCATCATTCTCTTTCTTCATGTTCTCCTTCTTTAAATTTGCCATGTTATTTTAGGTTTTACAAACCTGTTCTTCATAGTCTCTCTCCTCACAATAATGTTGAGGACGATGTCTCTTTCACTTGTAGGTCCCAAATCTTCTACTGGAACACAAAACATAGTTGCGAGTTACAAATCTAGGAGGGGGATGGAGGAAGACACAAAACATAGTCCCATATCTTCTCCTTTTTTAAAGTCGTCTGACCGTCGGGGGAGGAGAGGAAGAGAGGAGAAATCTTGTCGACGAAAAAATTAGGGACTTACAGATCTGGGAGGGGAGCGGAGGAAGAAGAAAATAGAGAGAACGAAGAGGAGAAAGGGGTGTCAGTGCCCTCTTCGAATGCGAGTCAAGAAGCAATGGTGAGAGTTGTAGATCTGGGAGGGGGCGGAGGAAGAAGAAGAAAATAGGGAGAACAAAGAGGAGAGAGATAGAGAGAGGCGTTGTTGGAGAGGTCCGCCGTTGTTGGAGAGGGCCCCATGATGAAACAAGGGCGAGAGGGAGAGAGAATGAACGGAGAGAGAGAGAGAGAATGAATGGGACAGGGAGAGAGAGAATGAATGGAACTTGTTACCGCACTTGTCGTAGTTGCTGGCATTGTAGGCTACATTGGTGTAGCTCCCGTCGCAGCAAAGCTCTACAAATCCACACTTGTGCCTGCACCACCGCCCACAATTGTTCTGGTCTCCAAGATCATTGCGGAAATGTGTCTTGCAGCACTGAAGAAGCTTGGTCCATTGCTAACCAATACCCCATTACAGATGTTGTTCATAGAGACGTACAGTGTGCACCCTTCCTGATTCTGGCGAGGAACCGTTTTTCCAGCGAGGGTGTTGGTGAAGGGGTTGTCCACCACATAGTCTTCACCATCTTCTATGTCCTGGGAGAAAACGATGTGGGTGTGTAGGATCAGAACCAAAAACAAGGATTACAGTTATAGAGAGGATGGTGGGAAGGTTGAAGAAAGTGGTGGCCATTCTCTCTCAAGGGAAGGCGTCCATGAGAGTGAGGAGGGCAAGAGACGAACTGGGTATTCGAGAATGCGGCTATCTGATAAAATTAATATTCCATGATCAGAGATTAAGAGAAGTTTCCATTGATCAGCCTCCTTATTGCTTGACCATGAAGTTGCTAGATGATTGTCGCGATCTCCTTTTTCGGCACGAAACGCATAATTAGAGACTCGACTCATAGACTATAGAATCGGTAAGGGAAGGTTGAGCCTTGTGGACAAGTAAAGTTAAAAATAGGGATACAAATGTAATTTCACATAGGGGTATAAAAGGCAATTTACCTTTTCCATCAATGTTTAACGATTAAGGGTACACTTAGTCAATTATCAGAAAAAGTAAAGGTACACTTAGTCAATTTTCAAACAGAGGGTAGAGTTAGTCAATTAGCTAAACCATAAGGGTAGTTTAAGAAATTTACCTTTAAATATTTAAGGTAAATTCGACGACCCCCCCCCCCCCTTTCTGTGGGGTCAGTGGCAGATGGCACCTGAACTTTAATTTGCGACAAAAACCCCTCTAACTTTACGTTGCAACAAGATGTTGACGGAAGCAAACAGCATGTCGCGGTCTTAATTCGGTAATGCCGCAACAGTAGCGAGTCCATGGTGAGCCCTAGTTGCTACAACAACAACCTAACCAGTGCAGATTGTTAGACAGTTTTGTATGCCCTTAACTCCAATCAGTTTTGATGTATTTTTGATATTTAATGTAAATAAATAAAGTACATGTTTGATTCATGTTGTCTGGTATGCTTCTGTGTAAGACCTTAAAATTGGACACTTAATGAGACTCGTGTTAGTTTTAAATGTTCACAGCCGTTGGATAAGTCTGGGGAGATTTATCCTGCCAAGGCTGACGCTGGTGTGCTGCCAAATGTTGGGGTGGCTTGTCTCAGCCGCGAGGGTGAGACCCAAGGCACACGCAGTGTAGGATTACTTGAACCCTTGAACTGGACCAGATTTTCAGTATTGCCCTGGACCTTGGAGATTGATAGGAAAAACTGGAAAGTTACACCTGACCCCTTGAGCCGATTATGGTACTACACTAGGTGTCAGATTGGGTTGTCTTTGATATGTCAATCGGTGAGATCCTTAGCGGGGGTCAAAACCTGGGTATGTTGGGACAGTCTGAGAATTCATCTGAGTGGGTGATCATAGTGACGGGATCAGCCCCTTTGTCGGACAAAGGTAATGATCGGGGATGCACTATCTCTGATGGAAACTAAACTGCCGGCAGTTGATTTCAATCGTTGGAATTTTGTTTTGCAAAATTTATATATTTGATATATATGGTTTCAAAATGTTTGCAAATGGTTTTAATTCCCGGGATCCATGTGAGTAGAGAGTGCAGCACTGTTCCTTGCAACCGAGGGAGAGGTCCTTTCTTGTCAGGCAGTGCTTGATCATTATGGGCTGAGAGGTTGAGTGTAAGGCCATTTAGGATAATACCTGATGGGCTAATCTTGCATCTGCCCACAGTCCCTGGGTTTTTATAAGATGGCTTGCCCAGGGACCACTTAGTGTAAGTGTTGGGCCCATAAGGTCCATGTGATGGGCTCAAGGGGTTCATTGGGCTTTCCAATGAATTCGGCTAGGCCTTGTAACAGAGGTTGGGCCGAATCCATGTGGCTAATGTGTAGATCAATGCTTGGGTCCCACACCATACAAAGAAACCCAACTGGGCAGCAATTTGGAAGACTATTGAGCACTTAATACATATTGGGCCTAAAGCCCATTTCGATCTGGGCTGATTTGATCAGTCACTTAAAGGGGCGGATCTGAGATTAGGTTAAGCCCAAAAGCTTATCTAATCTGCAGATAGGATTAAAAGGAGTCCTAATCCAAATACAGATATGGATAAGGGCAACTCCTAATATGATTAGGAGGTTTCTTAATCACCAAGAAAGAGGAGGAAACCCTAATTTCGAATTACTTGAATTCGAATCCTATGGGTTTTAGCAGAATACACTCTGCATTCTTGAGATAGGATCTCAGATAACCTTAGAGAAGAAAATAGCAGTTCGCTACCTTCTTCTCTATCATTCTCCTCTAGCAGCCGCCGCCACCTTTTCTGCCAGTTCGAGTTCTCAGTTAGAGAAGATCAAGAAAGGTTCTTGATTGTTCGTGTGGTGCTCTTAGTCTTCCACCGAGTTCTTCAGAAGAACCTGGTTCGTAGGACGAACACTACTGGTTCGGCTCCATCATCACTGTGTCATCTTCAGTGGGAGCTGATATTGGGATCTTCTTTGGGCGTGAACACCAACGTTGGGAGATACTACTTCTCCGAATCTAGTATAATCCCTCCCTTCTCTTTTGCAAATCTGGTTTGGTTTGGTTCGAGTAGATCCTTGAATCTTGATTATAAATTTAGGGAATATGATTCCTAGTTGGAAGAAGGGTAGGAAATTTTTGAAATTCGCCCAGTCATTCCGCAACCTTTTTGACGTCCATACGATGGATCCTACCATTCTTTCACAGATAGCTCTCCCATGATCATGTCTCCATGGAATCAGGCTTCTCCTCTTGCCAAGTCCCCATGGCCCAGATCCTCTCCTGTTAGTCCCTTCGATGAGAATTTCCCTCCCAACGGTCTAATCGGATCCCTCGTCTGCGAAGGCCACACTCTTTGGTCGCTATCGATGACTTACTCTATATTGTATCAGACAGCAAGAACATCCGCGTCTGGAAAAGGCAGAAGGAACTCTTTTGCTTCATATCTACCAATGGATTAGTTAAATCCATTATAATCTCCGGCGATAAGATTTTTACTAGTCACCAGGACGGTAAGATTCGAGTTTGGGTGTTCCAGAGATGTCGTCGAGATAATGTAGAGGTTTCAGGTTGCCAATAGAAGTTGGCAACTCCACAATAACATTGTTGCTCAAATCCAACGCACGTAAGAATTGGAGTTTGTTAAACAGATTGGGTAGGACTTGCCTGATGTTTTTCGGTCCATGGCCATAACTAGGCAATAGAAGTGCCTCTAAATTTTCTGCTTTGTAGAAGACTTCAAAGATGGATAGATCAATTTTGTCATTGCGAGCCATCATCTTCACAAATCTCATACCTGTCGCTCGTATGTTCTATTGTTGATGATGAACGCATCGTAACTTATTGACCATCTAAGCCCGTTACTTCTAAAATGAAATGGGAACCTAGAAGATCCAAGTAATCTACTCAGAGATATGGAAGAAGCTATTATGTAGATAGCTTGATTCGAGTCGATACTGCTTTAGAGATAGGCAAGGATTCCTGTTAATACCTTCAACTATCGTGTCGTGTTCTGTATTTCTGCAGTGATGTTAAGCTACAAAATCAATGATTTATCCAAGAAATGGGAGTGGCTGCTTGATCCACAATGAGATGTTATCAGTGGCTAGTAGAACCAACTGCATCATCATTCGATCAAATTAAATGGACTTCAGCTCACTCAACCCCAACAACTCCAACAAAATTGTCGGGATATCGGTGAATTGTCTTGCTCCCATAAGCTTGTTCCTCATCTGCAGTCATACTATCATCTATATTTTTCTGTTTCTATCTGAAACTTTGTTGGGAAAGTGGCGGAAGCGAGTGGAGCTTCGGGGAACCTAGTTTTCTATAGGGCGGCATACTGGAGGTGCTGTCACCAGCATTGCTGGCATCGGTATCCCCATCGATCTCGTGGGAGTTAACAAGAGTACCCAAATACAGAGTTAGTTGCAGATACGTCGCTAACCTTTTGATGGGTATTGGTGGGAGCGACCGAAGATGGGCATCGATTGATCTGGATGTCTTGCCGTTAGATGAATTCGTCATTTTTGAGATACAAAAGGACAACGAAAGTATAAACGAAAACAAGGGCGAGGAGAGAGAGGACACCGGTGATGATGATGAGGAAGCAGAGAGAAGAAAGACGAATGGGAGGGGAGCGGAGGAAAGCCGATGGACAATGTAAAGTATAAAAAAATATTTCATAAATTAAAAATATATATAGTTGGGGCATTTAGAAAATTTTAAAGGGTAAATTACAAAGACCCCCTACTATGGGGTCAGTGACAAAGTTCCCCTTGTACTTTTTCTTGCGATAAAGACCCCCTGAAATTTAGCCGTTAGACAAAGACCCCCTTGGCCATTAAGTGAGATGATGAAAAGCATTAAATTAACAAAATACCCCACTAAACTTTTTCTATTTTCTTTTTCTTGTCATTTTTCTCTTAAAACATATTTAACCTAGGAAATGGATATCTAGTCTGCAGAGTTTGTTTGTTTTGATTACTGGTTATCTTCTCTTCCATGATCAAAATATGATGGCCATGTACAAGAAGATTTACAAGGGTGAGTTCTGGTGCCCTTGCTGGTTCACCCTGGAGCTTATTTAGCTCCTTTCTCGTCTTCTTGACACCAAACCCCTTAACCAAAATAACAATTCCAAAAATCATGGAGAATCACTAGCTCAAGAAGGAATTCAAGCACATTAGATTCTACAAAATTTAGTGGAAAAAGAGCGAGTACCTTGTTCTCAGGAATCACATAGGCTATGTTGCACGGGAAAGCCAATTGCGAGAGGAGTTTCGTATCAGACAATGGAACTCGAACTAACAACCTTGAAAAGGATTCTTGATCGAAAACGGTTCCCTCTTCCTCATCTTCACGGCCGTAATCAACCACACAACCACCTTCACCTTGTTATTTCCGTTGTCAATTCCTCCCATGACTTCGAAGCTCTAAAAGGCGCTCCACCCAATTCGCTCTCTTCTTCTTCTTCTTCTTCTCAGGTTCCTCCTCTCCTTCGTGGGTGTTGTCCGAGTAATTGACCACCCTCATTTGCTTGTCCATATCGGGATCAAAAAGAGGCGATCGGACCGAACCAGAGAGCTAGAAAGGGAAGATGCTAGTGGAACGACTTTTCTTTAGTTTGGGTTCGAGCGAAGCAGCACAGATGCAGTTTAGCGAGTAGCGGAGCTGAGGGTCGGACTTTGATCTTCGGAGACCAGATGGGTCGCAGAGGTCTTTGCCAGAATGGGACCGTCAAAGACTGTTATGTTCTCTGGGAATGTCTTTTGTCGTGCTGCCGATTGGAGAACCGGAAATGTTGACTGAATTGCACGCCATAGTTGGTCTCGGTTGGTTCGCTTTCGACTTTTGCTCCACTCTGTCAGCGCCTGAGAAACCGAGCTTGGACCTTTACCGAAGAAAGCTCTCTCTTTCTCTGGGAGTCATGGACTGGTTATTATTGAATGTCGGATCCATTGGACTTGGAGGAGTTCTTGGAACCAACACATCTGATGGTAAGTTGGTAACGACAATTTTGAAGTTAGTCCAATTTCTTCAAAGTTTTTAGAGTTGTAACTCCGCCATGGCCCACTCGATTGCCGTAAAGTCTTGTTGTCACTAGACATCACTTTATATTATATAAACAAAATTAATAACTTTCATAGAATCAGGTAAAATATATAAATCTGGTCTGGTCGGTCAGTAATTATTTTCCTTCTTTTTTTAATTTCACTTTACATACGCCTTGATGTTGTCTCTTGTTAAGTCTTCTAATTCATCTCTTTCCCATCTTCATCATAAAAGGAGTCCCCTTTATTCCGTTAATATTCTCCATCGAATATTTTAACTGTTGTTAAAAGTATAAGGGGATTTTGTCACTGACCCGATATTACAAGGGGGTCTTTGTAATTTATCCAATTTTAAATAGTCAAATGAGAATTTGGCTATGAACAATGCAAACTATAAAAAATCAGATGATTTCAAAGTCAACTGACGGAACGCCAAGTCTAACGCAAAGTTCAGAGGTCTTTATCGCAAATTAAAGTTCAAGGGTATCTATATCACTGACCCATATACCCAAATATTCAATACAAAAAGAATTTGGCGAAGCATATAGTTTGTTCAATTTTTATCTGACGGTCTAAAAGTGCTGTATATGATGAATCAGACGGTTAAACCATGAAATGAATACATGTTACACTATCGCCATCTCCCAAAAAAAGAATGCATGACCTATGTGTGGTAACAGTAATCGGCTCACAGAATCGGAGTTACAAAGAGTTTTTCACAGGAAAATGGTTGCCGTTTTCGCGTATGAACAACAACAACAAAGAATGGGAACACGATCATCTGCCTATATGAATTAAAGAGGAAATTCAGATGAAAAGAAACGATGAAATGCCACGTCGTCGGTGATTGTGATGATGCCAGTGACCGTGAGTTTTTTCTCAGGAGAAGAAAGAAGAAGACGATCTTTTCTCGTCGTCATGTTGATGATGACCGGGAGATTTTCTTCCGTATCGTTTCCGGCGACGGTGATTGTGGTGGTGCTTTCCCTTTCCGTGATCCTTGGAGGTTGAGTTGGCTGTGGTTTTCCAATCTGGAATGTTTTCCCTCGTGGGCGGACTAACCGGAGCATACAACCATGACACTGTCGTGGATGAAACAGGTGGAACAAATCCGTCGGGTGAAATTGCTGGAGAAATAGATCCTAGATTCTTAGAGAAGTATCTTCTTGCCGGAAACAAGACTGTAAGAATACCATCCAATCCATGCACGGCTATGCCAGATCCGTTATAAAGACCAGGAGCGGAGATGCTAACGCCGTCAACAGTAATGACAGAGGAAAAGATCGAGGTTGATGTCGTCTGGCGATTCTCGATCAAGAGAGCGTGGTCAGGGAGCAGCGTATCAAGATAGGGCCCGCTGGAGAGATCCTGTAGATCGGAGATCATGAGACGGCGGGGAACGACGTGGTACTGGAGTACGTTGACGTAATCTGTCGCTTCTGTCACCATGTCGAGTGAGAAAACACGGGAGTTGGTGGGAGCGAATAAAGTGAAAGAATCGCCGGCAATAAGCTTGTACCGGAGATCTGAAGTGGCGATGGCGTTGGCGAAGAGATTGTAACCATTGGACGTAAGAGCTCCAATGGCGTCGTCAAGTTCTTGATCTGTGATTTCAGCGACGGCAATTGAGAATAAAAGAAACAAGAGTGTGAGGAAAACAGAAGTCACCGTCAATCTGTCCGGAAATACATAGGCGATTATTCGTGATCGTGGACCTTTCCCCATTCTGAGCGTGTGAGCGAGTGAGCGAGCGGGGGGGAGAGAAAGAAACTGAGTTCGATTTCAAGCGTTTGCTTTTTTTCCCCCCGCTTGTTTGGGTTCTTAACAAACGAAGTGAGGCGAAGAGGTACGAATATCGGAAAGAAAATAAAAGGCTTTTGCCAATCAAAACCCTCCGTGAATTTTGATGAAAACCAGCATGTAATTGGGCTGCACGGCCCACTTTTGCGAGCCTCTCGACCTGTAGCGGGCATGCCGGTGCCAGGCACGAATCTCACAATATGGAAGCTGGTATGGCCCGAAGCCTAGATTTAGTGGGCTGAGTCGATATAAACTTTTTAGAAAAATTGAAAAAAAAGTAAATTAACAATATAGACAATAAATTAAAAAAATCCTTAACTTTTTATTTTATATGAATTTTGATATATATAGAGAGAGATAAGCTCTAGACTAATGACACAATAACTCCAATGATCCAATTGCTGAATCAATTGATGTCTGTGATAGTTTCTACAAGTAAAAGAGTGCTTTATAAAACATTATTTTTTTATTCACGCATTGGATCTCATAAAAGTAAAATGACCCAATTAATAAATTATTGTTTTTATTAAAATTTTCTATGTTTTTTTGAAATGCAATGACTAAAATAGCTATTGATAATAATGATCCATATAAAAAGGCTGCATAATTCAAAACCTTCATACTTATGTACATCCTCAAAAAAATCCTTAACTTTATATATATATATATATATATAAGTGATTGTTTTTATTATTTTTTTTATGTTTTTTCAAAATGTAATGACTAAAAGAACTATTGATAATAATGATCCACATAAAAGAGCTGCATAACTCAATACCTTCATGCCTACGTACATCTTTAAGAAAACCCTTAACTTAAGTTGGTCATAGCTAGGTGGTAATAGTACTTGTTATTAAAAAAGGTTCAAATCACATTACATGCATATTATTTTTATATAAGTGGTGAAACCATTTGCCCATATTTGATTTTAAGTTTGACCGAACCATTTAGATTTAAATTGGTTAAACCAACTTAAATTATCTAATTGAATTTATCTTTGAACTAATCACATCAAGAGTGATTGAACTGTTTGGATTTAGATTAATTTGATCAAATCATATCAGATTGGTTCAGTCAATGGCAATTTGAATCGGACCAACCCAAATACATAGATACTACAGAGGCTCTTGTGTAGAGGCGGTCATTAGAAAATGTCTCTATAACATATTAAAGACGACTGACTTTGTTCGGTTATCATAAAGGCATTTTCTGATGCCGCTGAATTGAAGTTTTTACTCCTCCGTATATTGGCAGAAATAAGAGTAGGCGCTTAGGTTTGGCGCCCAAAATTCATTTGCGCGACCATTCCCAAAACTCTTCGAAGAAAGTTCTTAGAGAAGAAAATCAAAATACTGAAACCCCCTCTCTCTATCTCATTTCGTTTTCCCTCTCTCTTTTTTGTTTTTTATGTTTCATTTTTTACCGAACCCTAATCAATACCTAGTAGGAGGTGGACCAAGAGAAGCAGAAGCAACAATGGATATCGACCTAGTTGTAGAGGAAAAAGCAAGAAGACCAAGTGAACTGTCCCAAAATCCAATGATATTTGCCATGCTCGTCAAGCTATATAGATTTCTGATATGGAGGACAGTAAGCAAATTCAATGTGGTGATTTTAAAGAGGCTGTTAATTATGAGCAGGGTCAAGACAGCTCCGTTGTGCCTTTCTCGATTAATTAGCTAAAGGGAAAGGAGGATAAAATCATGGTTCTTGTTGGAACAGTTACCGATGATACTCGGGTTTATGAGGTGATGACTTTAAGGTTTACAAAGATAACGAGAGCAAGAATTTCGAAGGCAGCAGGTGAATGCTTGACATTTGAGCAACTGGATCACAGGGATGCACTTGGGCAGAACATGGTTCTTCTCAGAGGTCCTAAGAATGTTCGTGAATTAGTGAAACATTTCAACAAACCATATGTACGGTCCAAGGGGAAGAAATTTGAGAGGGCTGTAGGGAGAAGAAACAGTAGGGGATTTAGGGTTTGTGTCATTTGTCAGTGCTATGGAGGTTTTTGTCGTGTACTATTCTGGCTCAAAAATTTTTGTTGGCATCGATCTTTTATATTTTGGTAAGCAATTTTTGTTGGACATCTAACCATCTAGACATCTATGCTTTATTTTTCCATTCTATCAGATGATTTGAGCCTTTATTATTCTAAATTGAATGGTAGTAATCATTACATGCATATGTTTGGTTATGCATTGTTCTTTCAAGGAATGTTACATAGATATAAGAGAGTTCAATTTAAGTTACTTATGATGCTGAAATAAGTAATCTAACGTGCTAGGGGGACAAAATGCTTGCAGAGGATTGTATAGGGAAGAAGAAATTAATTGAGTTGTTAGTCATACCTAGAAAGCTTTCAATTTAATCTCAGGCATCAGGTATGTTCTCTAAATTTTTATTGACTACTCAGGGATTTAATGAATTATGTCAAGATTCTCAATGAAAACAAGAAGACTTTATTGCTTTTTCGGCTGAAACAAAATATTGCTAAGATACAAGACAGAACAATTGATTAATTTATTCTATTTAGCTATTATCTAGACATGTTTGTTTACTCTTTTTTTTATTGATTTATTTTTCAATTTTGTTACTTTGGATCGTAAAATGTTATAACTTGTAAGTGGTATTAATTATTTATTTTCTTAACCATATCTGGTTACTCATATCTCTCTGTTAAAAATGCTCAAATTCAAAAATTTAGTAAACTTCCACCTTTCTTTGCCCTACCCTCTCTATATCTAGGACAACTAATAATCAACCTAAAAGGTTTTCTTGTTCAGTAGATCCAACATCTGAGATCTCAACTACCACAGGTATTTTCTAAGCATTGATATAAATCATAATTTTCTTGTCTATTGCTATTAAGCTAAAAGGGGTCTCACAAGAAAAAAGTGACATAGACAGTCCTGCGGGCAGGGAAAAAATCAATGTAGCAAGTAATGTATTTTTTCTACAACTACTGCATTGTAACTGGGATCCATTACCGGTTTGGTTTTGCTTTGTGTTTATGGTTTGGGATTAGAAGACAACTATTAGGACTTAGGTGATGCAATCTAACAAGTTTAGCATTAAAGGAGACACCTCCTTATGGTGATGCTTATAAATAATTTTTTTTTGATAGAAGTCAATGGTCTAGATCATTATAATAAAACCATGGAAAATGAATAATGGAATATTAGGAACCATAACTATAGATTCAAACGAAGCATCCTATCTTAAGCATATGTTCACTTACATTGGTTGGATTTTCGAGAGCATCTAACATGTGCAAGTTTTGTTTTGGTCCATCACTTGATGGCTTGGATCTTCAATGGGATGGTTATTAGTTTCTAATTAATTGTGTATCCTTAAGGTTTAGTTTAGGAAGAGTGCAAATTCAAATATGTACCATGCAAAGAGGATTTGGGAGGGAGGGGGTCGATAGGGTAAAGGTTTTAAAGGTATTAAGGGGTTTAGTTTGGTTTGGGCTATTACATATTTAGTAATTTTTTCCTATCTTATTTACCATTTCTCCAATTTGATAAGTGATGTTGAATTTTTAATTTTTGATTAAAAATTTTACCGACTTCCTTTGATTTTAATGCACTACTAGTTCAATAGAGAGATTTACCCACTTCTCTTTCAAGGAAAAGGGATTGAAGAGGTTTATGAGGAAAGTAGAGATTTAATGGGGAGAGTAAATGTTACTATTTACATTGGAAAGAAAGAGAAGTGGGTACATTATGGGCTCTTTTTGGTGAAAAAATTAAGGAAACACCATTAAGTTGACAAGCTATTAACTATGAGCATTAGCTTATTAAATTATTGGACAAATTTCCTATCATAGACGTTCCTTGTGAAATTTTCTAACTCATTTTCATCTTGGCCATCAATATAAACAGTTTTTCCTTAGAATTCTTAGCCTCAACAATTGGAACTCAAAGTATCACCACAAGTTTACAAAATCCCAATTCTACCAAAGTCTTCACCTCTATTAGGAGTTGAATCACCATAATAACTACTTTCAGCATCTTACAATTCAGCATCTCTTCCTCTAGTTTCAAGCAGTAGCAAAGGTTTTGGCCGGTCTGCATGTTCAGTGTGTTAGACAATTTTGTATTCCCTTAGCTTCAATCAGTATGATGTACTTTATGAGTTTATTGTAAATGAATAAAAGTGCATATTTGATTCATGTTCCCTTGGTATGTTTCTGTGTAATACCCTTAAACTGG